CTGTTATGCCTCCAGGGTGACCCCTTCCCTTCTAGTCCTGCTGCTACCACAATGGAGGAAGAACATGATTTTGTGGAAGGAAACTGCCATTTAGGTAGTTCTGGCTATTGGTATGTGCCCTGCATGAGACTTGGTTTACCAATCTATAAAGCGGGAGTTAAGATAGTCTTTTTATGTATTTTTTTGTTGAGGGTTAAATAATATATTTGAAAGGACTTGGCAGAGTGCCTAGCTAGCCTGTGTTCAGCACGTTAGTTACACTTTCTTTCTTATGGTTTTGTTTTGTTTTCTTAATCACTCTCTCTTCTTTTCTTTCTATTCAGGTCATTACTGTTGAATTAATCTTCTCACAGCATAGCTTATTCATTAAATCAGTGCCCAGCAACCCTGGGCTGGGATTCATTAAGTCCTGGGCTCTCTGGTAGAGTCTGCAGACTTGGGACACAGATAGGCCTTACGAGCTACAGTGTCAGAGTAGAGTTTTTGTCATCCCCTGCTGAAAACACCCTTCCCATCTGTCTAGGGGGCCTCACTACCACTCTCAATGAACAGTAAGTCTCCTTAGGGTGGCATTCAAGGTCCCTCTAAAGCAGCCTGAACTGCCATCCCTCCCCTCCATATTTCCTATATGCTGGCCCAACCGATTTCTTCAGTCTCTGAACTCATAGCTCCTGGCTTCTTTGTCACTGTGAAACACAGTATGGATGGTCCTCAAAAATTAAAAATAGAACTGCCATATGATCCAGCAAATCCACTTCTTTCAAATAAAAGCTAATTGGAAAGATATCTGCAGCCCCCTGTTCATTGCAGCATTATTTACAATAGCCAAGACACAGAAATAACCTAAGTGGCCACTGATGGATGAATGGATAAATTGTGATACACATACACACACACTGGAATATTTTTCAGCCATAAAAATAATGAAATCTTGCCATTTGTGATAACATGGATAGACCTAGAGGATATTGTGCTAAGCAAAATAAGTCAGAAAGACAAATTCCCTATGATCTCTCATATATCAAAGTTAGAAAAACACAAAATACATTATATATATATATATGTAAGCTCACAGATGTGGAGAATAGATTGGTGGTTGCCAGAGGCAGTGGGTGGAGAGTGGGAGCAATGGGTGAAATTTTTTTCAGTTTAAATAAATGGAATAATAAAAGAATGGATCATGGAGGTGAAATAAAATGTACTCAATTTGCTTAAAACGGAAGTCCAGCGCCGTGCGTCCTGTCGCTCCTGTTGACATGTGGTGAGGAGTGGCTCCTGAATGTTGCGGGATATGTGATTCGAGAAAGGGGACCGGAACAGCCAGGTGGGTGATCCTCTAACCAGAAGTTGCCAGGAGACAGCTCTTTTCTGTAGCAGAGCCTTTACGAAAGAACAGGACATCAAATGGCAAGAGCTTTGGGTTTCCGGGCTTGTCCTGAGGGCCGGCCCAGAAGGTGGCCTCTGTTGTATTTCCTGGATTTGGGGTTCAGGGATGTTAGTCTGGTTAAGCCTCTTTGGGTAAAAATCTCAGTTGAAAGTTTATCTTCATAGAATGGGTTTCACCTCTCATTTTTGAATAGCTTTGGAAGCAAAGCGAGGCGAGTCCCTCTAAGGCGCCGGGGAGGCCACCCTGCGTGTGTCATTGGAATTCCTCCTGAGCACCTACTGTGGGCGCGGCTGTGGCCACTGGATCTAGTCTGAGCAGTGAAGGTGTTTGCTGTGTGTCTTTTCTTCCTGTCTCGCTCTTCTCCCCGGGGGGATAGTCTCTTGCTTCCCTGAAGGCTGAAGAACCAGATGCATGAGGTGAAGGGACTGGTCGCTCTGTTACCAGTGTGCACTGACCCCGGGGGTGCGGGGCATGGTTAGCGGTCATTAAATTGTGGGTCTGATGATCACAATGACCTTATGTCCTAGAGACCCAGGTTCAGACATTCCAGGCCACTCTCAGACCCTAGGCCTGATTTTAGGTTTGGAAAATAATCCCTAAGACCACTCATAATTCATACGGCCACTTCTCTGTGTGCGAAGAGAACGGGCCTCCTAAAGCCACAGAAGAGGGGCCTGAGAGGTGGAGTTGGAATCTGTCCCTTGGTCTTTGCTGGTATAGGAATAAGGCACCGACTGGGAGGAGATGGGAGAGAAGCCCATGCCACCTTCCCACCACTCCCCAACCCCACACGCCTTTGTGTGCTTTAAGCATGCTGCATCTCTGTGACAGCTGGGGGTGTCTTTCCTTTTTTTCTCAGCCCAGGAACCACCTACTTTTCCTTTACGACCCTGCACAAAAGTCACTTCCAACTTTCTGCAGAGTCCCATGGTCCCGATTTCGTTTTACCTTCTGTATGTTCCCAAGGTTTTCCATCTACTGTGCTGCAGCTTTTATACACAGCGGTAAAATTACTCATGAACATTTCTGCCTTTCTAACCACAGTGTGCGTCTTGCACCCCATGCCGTTTTGTGCTTCTTTGTATCTGCTCCAGGGCCTAGCAATGGGCAGGTCGGCTAGAATGCGTTCACTATTAAGTGAATGAATGGATATAGTTTACCCTTTTGGACCCTCAGTATAGTCACAAGATCAGAAACCATTTGTTTGGAATTTGCTTATCAGATGATTAGGCTAGCTATGGTTTTGAACTTAGGTCTTTATGTTCTCCTTTAGTATTTAGACAGTTCTTTTAAAAATTCATAGGCTGTTTTAATCACATGGGAAAAGATCCCCCCAAGGGTAACGCTTAGCTGCACCCCAGCAGAAAGGCATGCTTCCAGGGGCTAGCATGTAAGCATCTGGAATTAAAGCGAGGGACTCCAGGAAGACAGTGCTGTGGCAGGCTCTGTTGTCCTCCCACCATCTTGGAGTTTAATGAGATTAATTTTTTCCTATTGAAAACTGTCCCCTTAATGGTTGGTGTTTCAGGTGGCAAAAGATACACCGAGGCAAGCAGTGCCTCACTGTGAATCTGTTAGCATCCCCCTGAGCACATTTTATTCCAGGAAATTCTGAACTTGTGATTGGGAGAACTCCCAGCAAGCCCATTTATTATATGACTTGAGTATGTGAAAGGTAATCCTTTTTAAAATGTGAGTTATGGAGCTTCGTAATGTGCCGTTTATCTATGTCTCCTGTGGAAAGAAAGAACACCAGGGCAAGTTTATTTTTTAAACAGAATGTGCTCTCTGTTGTCTTTAGGGCTCCATTTCTCACACCCTGTTCCCCAACACAGTAATACTCTAACATGATGAATTTTGATGAAAACATTGATTAAGCACCTAGAGTTGCTTGTTACCAAGTGGGGAGTAAGCATTTGAACTATACCTGGTAAGCAAGCTGCTTAATTATTAGGCTTCTGTGTCCATTTAAACACACCTTGGTTTAATATTTACTATCTAACATACCTGAGGAATATTTTATTGGAAGAAAACTAAACAGCTTTGGAAATTGGAAATCTTGTAGAACTCTCAACCAGGCAAGTAAGTTTTAGAAGGATAAAAGGGATCAATGCAGTCAACCATACATTTGAAAAGCCTCCCTAAAAAATGGAAGGGAAGATTCAAACATTCCATTAAAAAAATGGTATTGACATGTAGCCGCAAATCTGGCTCAGTGGAACAAAACGGCACTATTTGCATTCACACAGAGTATCTAATTCCTAGTTTTAGAAGTCAATGTAAGAGAAAACGCACTGTCTCCAGACTTCCTGTTTAAAAAGCTTGCAGCAGCTGTTACAGTGACAAATGACAATACCGTCCAAATATATTTGAGGTTAACCCCCCCAATGGCATCCACATTTACAGGCTTCAAGCCAATAAACGTTCAGCACCTGCTTTGCTACCCCCCACGTCCAACTTGTATTCTAGGGCCCGGCTCTTCCAGTATGGTGACTACTTAAAATCACATTCATACGAAATTATACTTACACAGACTTCTATTAAAAGGCAAATTCCAGGCGCAAGTTATTGGCCACATTCCATTTAGAAAGAGGATATTAAGTAAATGAGTTGAGCTGATTAAAAACACCTTCATCAAAATAGAATATTGGTGCCAACAATATTAAGAGTTACTGATTTTTTTAAAAAAATAGCAGATGGTACATCAGCAGGGAGGAAAGTGCCTTCCTTTCCCTGGCTCTGCCCGCTGCCCCCCCTTCACTTGGGGGTACGAAGGGGAACCAGTGACCCACAGCCGGAGATCCAGGGGAGGAGGGGCAGCAGGCGAGAGGCCGTGAAGGTGGGATGGGGCCTAAGGGAGGGAGAGGAAGGAGGGGGGACGAGCGGCCGGGGCGAGCAGAGGTCGGACGCCTGGAAGCGGGGCGCCGTCCCGGCGGCGGAGCGGCCCGGGCAGCAGCCGCGAGCCTGGCGGGCGCGGGCCGCGCGCACAGGACAGGGGCGCTCCCGATGGCGGCCGCCAGAGGGCGCGGCCGGGGACGGCGCGGCGGAGCGGCGGAGGGAGGAGGGGAGCCGGCGGAGAAGGGTCAGCCGCGGCGGCAGGGGCGGCGGCGGCGCAGCCCGCTCCGCTGCGCGCGCCTCCTCCGTCCCCGCGCCCCGCCGCCGCCATGCAGCCGCCCGCCCCCCGCCTCGCGCCGCCGGCCCTGCTCTGGCTCCTCGCCTGCCCCGCGGGTAAGTAGCGGGCGGCCGGGCCGGGCCCGGGAAGGAGTGGGCGCCCCGGCGCTGCCCCCGCGCTCGGAGGGAGGTGCCGGGCGGCCCCGCCCTGCCCCGCGGGCCCGCGCCCCGCCGTCCCGTCCCCGCCGCGCCGGCCGCAGCGCCCTCTCGCGGCGCCCCGCGGGGGGGCCTGGCTCTCCGGGACCGCTGGGCGCGCGGTGCCGCCTCCTGCCCGCCTCCCTCCGCCGGGAGCCGGCGGCCGGCCGCGCCGCTCACCCCCAGGGAGCGCGGAGCTGATGCGCGGCTGGAACAAACTTTGCGAGGAGGGAGGCGGCGGCCGCGGTCCCGCCCCGCGCCTTCCGCCCGCGCGCCGCGCCTCCCCGCCGTCGGGCCCGGCCGCGGGGCCTCCCGTCCTCGCCCGCGAAGGCGCGCGGCGGGTGGGGAGGGGCCCGCGGGGATCCCCCGCCGCCGCCTCGGTGGGGGGATCCGAGCCCACTTCTGGAAGCAGCGCAGTCGGGTCCGCTGCTGCCGGAGCGCCGCTTCCCGTTTTTCTCCCATTCTCACGACAGCATTCTCCCCCTTTTATCAGAAATGTTGTGCCAAAAGTTTTAAAGATATCATTGTAACTGACTTTCACGATGACATCTGTTCAAGTTTGAAAGCTTGGAGGAAAAATGGTGCCGCGGCCGGTGTTCTCCGGGTTGTCCTCTCACCCGGACTCTCGTGCTTCCACCCCGTGAAGACGCAGCGACTTCAAATGTTTAGAAATGGCAGACGGTGCAGTTTAGGGAAAGGCGTAGCGGATTGCACTTGGCTTTGTGGTAGCCCACCGGAACCTCTACAGCCCGTTTTCATTTGGATTTAAGAACCTTATTTGGGTATCCCCGGCATTTCTATAGATGCTCAGTAAGTCTGGGAAAGCCGAGCGAGATTTATTGGTAATTAATTGTTCACAAGCATGATTAAATAAGCGACAAGGTAATTAAAAATGTTCGGGCACCTTGGACAGAGAAGGCTGCAATTGATGGTGGGGAGCATCTGAACTTCGCGGGTGTCTAAATGGAAGAAAGTGTATTGCTGGCAGGCGGGGGCGCGGGGGGCGGCTGGCAGAAGGGGCTGCAGCAGCCCTGGGAGATCGACTGGGTGACTCCTGGCTGTCTCGGTTGGCTTGCTGCCTGGGAGTTTTGCACCTAACCAAATGGGGTGGGTGGTAGCTGACATTGGCATCCTATTTATAGCACTGCGTTTTAGAATGCTGTACTGGGGATATAATATTTGTATATACTGTATTCAATATATGGGCTGAAATGTATATTTGTATTATTATGTGTATCTGTTTTTTACTGTACTGAAGGGAACGTGTACACTGTCCAAACTCCATGATACATTAAAGGACATTCAGAATGAACTAAAATGTCAACACATTTTTAGAGATGTCTATTACCATTGCGAAGTTGTCAGAATAGCATAATAAATAAGACATAAAGCCCATTAAAAGGGTCCCTGTGAGACATTGGACTTTGTGAACTGGCTTTCATGTGTTAGAACAGACAGGAAGCTGTATCCGTCCAGGTCTGAAGTAAATCATGATTTCATTTTTTTGAGCTCTGCTTTGATGTTGTGTTGGGGAGGCACCAAGATGTAAAAAAGATGTGGTAGCCACTCTTTATATATCTTGAAACCAAGATTCTTGGAATCTTGCTGAAGTAGAGAATATAATAGGAGTTCTGAGGCATGTGAATACCCATAGTTTAAAAACATCTTCAATATTCCTTTATAAGGTTGGCCTGACTGTATGTAGCTTAGTTTTCTCACAAACGGTGGCATTTTCATTTGGGTTTGTAGAGAAGAGTCAGTAGAGAGATTTTATTTTGAACCTGGGTGATTATACAGATAAAATTCACTGCAACCTCAGTTCTAAAGTCTGGTGCCAGTTCTAGAATCAGAAGATTTATTCGTGCCTCTCGGTTAGCCAGCGTGTGGCTTCTTGTACGTTTGAGCCTCACTTTTCTCATATAAAATGGGAGGTATGGACGAGATAGCGTACTGGAACTTTGCCATCTCTTACAGTTTTAACATACCGATTGTATTGTAGCAGAGACTGCTGTCTGCCTACCCAATAACTCTTAGTTGCTCTTTTCCTGACTAAAAAACCTCTTAAATAATCAGGGTTGTCATGGACGGAATTGTGTCCTTCTAGTTTATCTGTTGAAGCCTTGACCCTAATGTGACTGTGTTTGGAGATAGGACCTTTAATGTGGCAATTAAGGTTAATAAGTTTATAAAATGGAGGCCCTAATCTAATAGGATCGGTGTCCTTATAAGAAGAGGAAGAGACACCAGGGATGCACACAAAGAAAAAGCCCTGTGAGGACATTTATCTACATGCCAGGGAGAGGAGGTCTCAGCAGAAACTAGCCCTGCTGGCACCTTGATCTTGGACTCGCAGCCTCCACAACTGTAAGAAATACATTTCCATTTAAGTCACCCAGTCTGTGGTTTCTGTTATGGAGGCTCTAGCAGACCAGTAATTCAGGGAGTGAGGGGAAGAATGGAGGCATGGTGGTGGTGGCAGCAGCAGTGCGTCGGGTGAGAAGACATTCCTCAGGGGGCCTTGCAGATAGGGGTAGCCATGAGCTATCTGTAGAGATTTTGGGGTGGGTCTCTCGGCAAAGCTCAATAAAGGTGGCTGACCCAGCTGGGCTTCAGGCTACTGTTTGCCATTGTTTCATCCTCCTTCCCACTGCCTATGATGGCAGGAGCCATGGTGGTCATCTTGTGACCATGAGGTGACCTTGAAGATGGAAGCCAGTAGTAAGGATGGTAGAGCAGAAAGATAGTACCACCTGGCTGCCCAATGTGGGGCACCACGTTCGCCCCAGAGCACCTATTTCCGGACTTGGATTGTGTGAGATTAAAGATAAACCTGTACTATTTAAGCCTCAACTGTTTAAGTTTTTTATTACATGCAGCCACACCTAATCCTAATTGACACCTCTCTGAAGAAGCTTATTTGAACCAGGGGTAAAATATTAACTTATCTTTCTTATCCCTGTTTCTACTCTGTATGAGTCAAGATTTTATTTTTTAGCACCTACCAGAATTAGGAATGGTTTTTCATTCTGAGCCAGATCTTGCTTAGATTTTTTTCATTGTAACAAGTCAGACCTGACTCCAGATTTTGACCATCTGGATGGTTCTTTGTCACCCAGGTAGTCCAGGACCCCCACGTTGGATGGCCCTTTGGTCATGGACTTGACCCAAGGGAGTCTGTCTGTTTCCAGTTGTCAAGCTCTTTCGGGGAGTGTGGGGTGGGAAGGGGAAAAAGTCCCCCACGAGTGGTGGGGAGCGGGAAGGATGCCCTGACCCTCTTGTTAACTTCCTCTGAGGCAAACACTGTGGGCCCAGAATTCAGCAAGTCTTCATAACTGACCTCATTTGGAGCACTAAGGGCCAGATTGTTTGCTTTTCATTAGAAACATTATAAAATAAGCACAACTTCTAGGCACAAGGGATTACTTACGGGGAATTTGCAAATGTTACGTGTTTTGCCTCCCTGTAGCATTACGTGTAGTCTGTCTTTGGTGTGCAGATTCTTGCTTAAGAACAAGGGTGCAGGAGTGTTAATTCCATCCTTCCCAACAAAAAGGAGAAGTTATGGTGAGTGTGGGTTTCATCAGATCTAAATAATTTTAAAAGGGAAAGCTGTATTCAAAGTCTGTTTCATTTATTCAACAAGTGTTGAGTATCTGCTATGTGTCAAGCATCGGGGTCAGTGCATGAAGAAGATGGATTTAGTCTGTGTGTACTTCTGCAGACCTTGCAGTCTTGAAAGGAAGGAGACAGTAAATACTAACCATACCAGAAACGAATTGCAGCTGTGGGTAGGGCTGTGGCAGAGGCATTTGGGGTGCTGAGAACGTGTTGTAGGGAGACCTACGGCTTTAGACTGGAGTCTGAAGCAGGGCTTCTCAACGGGGGCCATATCTGAAAATCAAGAGACATTTTGGTTGGCACAGAGGAGGGGGTTTAAGGGGGAGGGGGGCTGACGGAGTACTGCTCGTGTCTAGAGCCACGGGTGCTTCTGAGCATCCAGTGCACAGGACAACACCCCCCTCCCCTGGCCCGTCCCCCTTGCCCCTGCGCCAAAGAATCATGACCAGTGAGCTGGTCCAAAGGGTCAGAGGTGCTGAGTTGAGAAACTCTGGGGTGGGGGCTCAAGGAAGGCTTCCCAGAGGAAGGGGCATCAGACCCCAAACCTGAAGGGGAAGCAGAAATCAGTTCAGTGGAGAGAGGGAGAGAGGGAGCACACCCGGAAGGGTAGAGAGCAGGGCACCGCAGGAATCAGGTGGGGGGCAGACAGGACAGGAGAGAGTGAGAGAGGGGCTGGGAGGGTCAGCAGGCCAGGGGAACGGGGCGGGGGGTGGGGGCCTTGCAGACTGGGGAAAGGGTTTCGGCCTTTTTCCCGGAGCAGTGAAAGCTGATGAAGGCTGTAACAGGAGTGTGACAGGATTTGACTTCCTTTTAAGCAGCTCACTCTGGTTGCCCTGTAAAAGGGATTGGAGGGGGCCAATGTGGACACGGGGGGCCAGTGAGGAGGCTGCTAGAGTCACCTCCCAGAGAGATGACTAAGAATGCCTAAGGCCCTGGGACTGGTAGGGCCAGTGAGCTGAGAGGAAGGGTGGGGTCAAGGGGGAATCTCAGGTATTTGTCATCATCAGCCGTGGGTGGTTAGTGGTGCTGTTTACAGTATAGACACTATGCAGAAGGCCCAGATTTAAACAAAAACTACTGTGGTGAGGTATATATAACACAACTTACTATTTAACCATTTCTTAAATGTACAGTTCTGTAGCATTAAGTACCCAGTTTTCTAAATTTTAGGGGAGATGGTGATGGTGAGTACCCTTTGGACAAACTGGTTTGCAGTGCATATGAGGTCTTCAGGTACCCTGTCGGACGGGCACTTGGATCTGTGGGTCTGGAACTCAGAGGAGAGTTTGGCTGGAGAGGGATTTGGGGATAATTTGAGTAACTTTTTCTTTTTTTAAAGAAGAGACCCTTGACTGACAAAATTAATTCATTTAAGCTTTTTCTCAAAATGTATGTGTACCAAAGATTTGGGAGAAGTTGGGGAAGAAAACAGTCTTGATCTGTATGATATAAAGCTACAGGTTTAAACAAACAAACAAAAATGAGTAAAGGTATCATCAAATAGGATTTGAATGTAGCTCAGAGCAATGCCATTTTCTC